GGACGACGACGACGACGACGAGAAGGGAGGAGGAAAAGGAGGAGGAGGAGGAGGAGGAGAACGAGGAGGAGGAGGAGGATGAGGAGAAGGAGGGAGGAGAAGGACGAGGACGAGGAGGAGGAGGAGGAGGAGGAGGAGGAGGAGGAGGAGGTGTGGCGTTTGATCGATGACAAGGGTGAGGAGTTAACCGGCCTTGTTGCGAAGATTAAAGCGCATCCGTGGCCCCGTAACCTTCGCCTCGGCCACACCTCCAAGCGTCATGATGCAGGCAGTGTGTTGGCAGATCGCTCCGCCAAGTGGGCGGCTCAGGCAGGCAGATTCCCTGAGGCCCAGCGCGATGAAATTGCGAATCGATCCAAGATCCTCAGGTCTTGGTGCAGGTGGACTGCCAAGGTTGGGGAGGGCGACGACATGTTCCACCCGCGTCAGGTCAGGAGAGGTCGCCCTCCCCAACCTCGCCTCGCTCTCGTTCAGGACCGCCCCGTTTCCCTGCCCGAGCGCGCCCTCCTGCTCCCTCGGGGAGCGGTCGTGATGCCGGGCAGTGTCCTCGCTGGCTTGTCTGGTTCCACCTGACTGGGGAGGCCTCTCTTGTCGAATGCTCGTCTTGCGCTGCTCTCTGCTCCGATCGCCTCACCTCACTGTCAAAGCCTTGCCAATCCAGGAGGCGAATGGTGCGTCGAGCTCTAGAATCGGCTCCACAGGGGTGAGTACATGCATGTCGGCAGAGGCGACATGTTGCGTGTGCGTGAGGTCGTCCCTCGTGCACTCGACTAACTCGTCTGTTTCTGTTCCGTTAGTTGCTCATCGGAGGGTCTCTAGCGCGCAATGTCTTGCGCAGGAGGAGGAGGAGGAGGAGGAGGAGGAGGAGGAGGAGGAGGAGGAGGAGGAGGAGGACCCCTGGGGGCCTCCGAGGTGGAGCGAGGAGTTCCCCTCGGAGGCCCCCCAGGGAAGAGCGTAGCTGATGCCATCGGTCCCGATGGTGGTGCGGCAGCCTCCACGCGCGCCCTGACTCGCGCCGCCGAGGCCGTCATCCCAGGCGTCGAGACGAGGCGACCGCGTGAGGACGCACAGCCTCCTTCATCTGAGGCGGCGGGGAGGAGTGAGGAGGAGGGGCCCCCCTGGGCTATTGGAGGAGGTGACTTGCAAGTGGGAGGTGAGGTGGTCTCTGTTCTAGCCGTCCCTCTTCTTGTGTGTGCGCCTTCGCCCGTGCGGGCGAGGAGGCGTCTTGCGGCCGCGGGTGCTGACGCTACGAGCGCCTGGAGCGCTCGGCAGCCTGCGCAAGAAAAAGAAGGGGCCCCTGGGTGGAGTCCAGAGACGCGCTTGCGCGAATTCGGAAGTCCTGCCGCGCAGGAGGAGGACGTGCTCTCGCCTCAGCGAACCAAGTTCCCAAGAGCTGCACGGATGCGGGGGGGGGCTGTCGTTGGCAACATGCGGGGTGTCGCCTGAGCGCCGCGCACACTCGTCTGAGACACTTCCAGCAGCTACACGGATGGATGCCGGTACGCTCTCAAACTGGGGCTCTCCCCCCTCCCCCCTCCCCCCTCCCCCCTTCCCTCCTCCCCCCTCCCCCCTCCGCCTGGGGCTTCCTGGACAAACGCGACCGCTGGCGCA